ATTTTAAATTCTCCTTTGGAAAAAATATCATTGTCCCGATTTGTCAGTTTTTATTGACATGTGTAAATAATTCGGTACTTTATTGATAATCAATAAGAAAAGTGGAAGAAGTTTGCAAATGTCTAGATGATCATTACTATATTTGTATTTAAGGAAAGTGTCACAGATGTGATGAATTCATGTGAACGTTATTGTTGTAACTGCTATTTTGGTCATTCATGGATCAGGGAAATATAAATAAAGCCATGAAACGTGTATATTTTAAAACCCATCAGAAATGTCATATGCTGTGTACATTATAATTAGCACAGGTAATTCCAATTGTTTCATACAGGAAATTGTTCTATAATCCTGTTTATAAAAGAATTTAGTGCCATCAAATATTGGTATAAATAAAATTGAATATCCTTGATATTATTACTTCTTGACTCACAATCTTGGATAAGTCAAACATTGATATAGTATCGTATATTAATGATGGCACCTATCTTGCAAATCTGGCAGCTATCAAAGATCTCATCAAGAGAAAGAATAAAAAGCGCAGCATTACTATTAAGGCTAAAGATTCTACTGTGATCTCTCTCTCTCTCTCTCTCTCTCTCTCTCTCTCTCTCTCTCTCTCTCTCTCTCTCTCTCTCTCTCTCTCTCTCTCTCTCTCTCTCTCTCTCTCTCTCGATTGAGGTTTCACCTATATCAGTAAGCAAATACCAAAAGCCCCATAATGATACTACCGAGGTTCATCCTACGGATCATACCTCGAATGTGTGCTGATAACCCACATTCGGACAATATCGAATATTTACGATACAAGGTTTGACCAAAAATGTACAGACACATCGAACTAGTTTTCATTCGTACAGTATTACAGAGAATTTAGTCGTAGAAATAGCCGATGCAACACGAATTTTTTGCGCTGGCTTTTTTGAGGAAACTTTCCGGTTTACAAAATGTATTGATCTACAATCAGTAACTGCTCCGATACAAATACAATTAAATTATTTGTTCCGCATAAATAGCCAAAATGATCAGAACGGCAGTTTCGGAGGTAAATAATTCTTGCACGTAGTTCGCAACCGTTTCGTGCATGAATAGAAGCGATCGGTTTTGAACGAAATTTGATTTGATTGTAGAGAGAGAGAGAGAGAGAGAGAGAGAGAGAGAGAGAGAGAGAGAGAGAGAGAGAGAGAGAGAGAGAGAGAGAGAGAGAGAGAGAGAGAGAGAGAACATATTGCTAAGCAAAATGTTTTAAACAAAGAAAAAAAACTTTTTGAATACATTATGGAAAGATCCAAACTTTCTTGACTAATTACGTATGTCCGATGCAGCTGCTATGAGGATTTGCAAGGCTGGTTAAAACAAACGGATTTGATCCATCGTGGGTAGGTATAATATTCATAAATACAAATGGAATGACCTTGCATCATTCTCTATCCCATATATTCATGTGCGTAACTATAAATACAACAATCTATAGCTTGATACATACATGTACCATTAATATTTCTAGGTCTATCTATCTTAAACATATTTCGCAATATGTTCAAATGTCAATATTCATCAAGCATCGTCAAAATATCATTTCACATGGGAGTTTTTGAAAACATTCTTAAAATAATTTTGCTCTGGGTTAAATCTGATAAAACAATATTTTTCTGACTGTATGGAGAAATAATTGAACATTTGATTGTTTATTTTGGGGTTGTGGTGATGGTGGTGTTTATAATGTACGTGGTATTAGAGTAAATTCATTGGTGTTCATTCAAAACTACGGTTCGTTTGAAAAACAATTATTTCGACATGCAGCTTACAAAGTATGGATATATCTATTATATTATTAATATTATTAATTGCATTTGAGGGCATCTGGTGCGCTATCCCAATTCACAGAAATATTGTGCCAGATAATGCTTCTTATCTATCTATCTATCTATCTATCTATCTATCTATCTATCTATCTATCTATCTATCTATCTGTCTGTCTGTCTGTCTGTCTGTCTGTCTGTATGTCTGTCTGTCTATCTATCTATCTATCTATCTATCTATCTATCTATCTATCTATCTATCTATCTATCTATCTATCTATCTATCTATCCTGCTACTTTAAAAATGACATACATGGCTTCACGTTTACACTTGAACCAACTATCTATCTGTCTGTCTGTCTATCTATCTATCTATCTATCTATCTATCTATCTATCTATCTATCTGTCTGTCTGTCTGTCTGTCTGTCTGTCTATCTATCTATCTATCTATCTATCTATCTATCTATCTATCTATCTATCTATCTGTCTGTCTGTCTGTCTGTCTGTCTGTCTGTCTATCTATCTATCTATCTATCTATCTATCTATCTATCTATCTATCTATCTATCTATCTATCTATCTATCTATCTAACCTGCTACTTTAAAAATGACATACATGGCTTCACGTTTACACTTGAACCAACTATTTTTTATATAGTTCTGAAAAAATGCAACAGTAGCCTTTGTTACAGTAAATGCATATTTTAGTTATCATTTAACGTAAATCTGTCGTCCGGTGTTCACAGGTATAATTGCAAACTGCATGCATGCAAACCGTCGTTGGATTTAATTAGTCTAAAAGATAATTCTATAATGTGGACTATACCTGAGTAGATCGATATTTATAACCTGTACGTCAAAACTGCATTGCAAGTACATAATTATTTCAATTTTGCTAATATGCCTATAAACGACCAGCCATGTCATTTCATATTGCTTTCCTTTTACCATCGATTTTCAGCTTATTTAGGGAAAAACTTGTCTAAACTTTATTAGATGCTGCTATTTGGCTTAAATGCAAGGTATGTCATATGATGGTTCGAGCGGTTTCTATATCATTTTATATAATTGCTTTATTTACGCTTTGCTTTCAAAGGAAATTTTGTTTGTATCGCATCTCAACGGCCATATGACTCAAATAATCCGAATAGTTTTGTTTTCAAAACAAGGTCACGCTTACAAGGCAAAGGTTTGTATTCAATAAACTCGCTCCCAGTTGCCTCTAATGTAGTTTTAATTCATTTCCTTCTTTATTTAATTTTGTCTTTGTCGTGAGAATTAACAGCACAATGTGCTTAGAAAGATATCGCCCACGTAAAATATATATTTTTTGCGTATCTGTGTTATGCCTACGCTGTATTCATTTGCAAGTAAAGCACAATCCACTCGGATTTAAGCACGTTTTCTGCCTTTAGCGAAGCCCTAATAAAAGTCGTATGCATTATATAACAAGTGCATTTTCATTAGTTCTAACAAAATTTTTTATTATAACAAACACATTTAATTGGTTCGTCAGAGTTAATTAATAAGGAGTTTCACCAGAAATACATGCATACATACAGGCAGATAGACGGACGGAACGACAGCAAGTTTAAATACATGATACATATGAGTGAAATCTTTCCAGTATTCTCATGTAAAGGTCATCAATTATTGTCATTTTCTGACGCGATCATTTAAAGCATATATAATCAGAATTCAGGGACCCATTTTATGTGCATTTATAGTGATATAAAGATTGTTTTTCTTCTAAAATATCCCTACTCTTACCTTAAACTTAATAAAAATATACTCCCTCCATTATGTCTCCATAGAGAATCAACCATTTTTATGTAAATACAACGTTACTGTCTAATTTAATTTCTCTAACCTGTATGCTAGTATTGTTTGTATTAAACTATATACTCACTCACACACATCAAATGTCTTCAAGGTCTTAAAGGCAGAATTCGTGTGAGAACACTTTGCTGAGTGACGTCATAAGGATAAGGGAAAAGAACATAAGATCTGTAACAGTTACTCCCTGCATTGACGCAAGGTATTTTAACTTTTAATCTAATCTAACAAAATAAATCATTTTTGAGCTAAGAAAAAGGAACCATAACACACGATTGCACCGAGCAAAGAGATAACTGATTTTTAGTCAATATAACTTTGCAAGACGCTCTATGAATGAATTAGAGTGTCTGACTCATGCTTAATGCATTTTTCTTGATGCTACTTGCCGTAAAAAAATATTGGGTTCTTTGATGAACCAGTTTCATGAGATCTCTTTTGCTTGGATAATCAATTACATTACAAATTCCAAGGGTTTTAACGTCGAATGGTCGAATGGACAACTCGCCCTTGCGGCATTGCGCACAACGACAAACTCAACGAAAGTCAGCGAGATTCGTCGAAACTTGCTGAAATTGTGTCGAAACTCCTACCAAATAAAAACAGGGTTTCTCGGAATTCAGTATCTGAGTTCAAATCCTTGCAATAATATATAAAACAAAACATGTACATACAATCTTATCACTGATACTGCTCCCGCTAATATTCCCATCAAAATTCTATTGTTCTCACCATATTTACGATGCGAATAAATTTTGTTCCATAATTTAGTCACGCTTTGTTAAAAAGCCATCTCTATAAAAAAAAAAATAAAAAAAAAATTGGCAATGAAAACTCTACGGACCACGTGTAAACTCGAGCTGTATTTATTCTTGGAAATACCTTTTACGAATAGGACATATCTTTCAGAGTTCGCTTCTTAGCGACATATTCTCATTGTGACCACACCGATGAACGAAGTGTTTAATGCGTCCGGCTTTTGATATGGGATGTGGAAAGTTCAAACCTCGGCCGATTCATACCAAAGACTTATAAAAATGGTACTAGCAACTGCCTCGCTTGGCGCTCAGCATTAAGAGGTTAGTGTTAGGACTGGTCGGTCCGGTGTTAGGATAATATGATGTGATGTGATTATGATTTTTAACGTAGCTTTAACAATTTGTCAGTCATATCGCTACGATGTCTTAAGTATGGCAGTTTATAGTGATGTCTAGCACTGGGTCATCATGCCGCAAAAATGTAGCATGATATCCCACCCAGTCATATTATCATGACACCAGGCCGACCAGTCCTAATACTAACCTCTTAATGCTGAGCTCCAAGCTAGGCAGTTGTTAGTATCATTTTTGTAAGTTTTTGGTATGACTCGACCAGCGATCGAACTCATGACCTTCCGCATCCGAGGCGGACGCTCTAACCACTACGCCACCGGAGCAGTCAGGATAATGTGACTGGTAGGACAAGATGGTGCATGTCTTCAGCATGATGCCCCAGTGCTGGACATCACTATAAACTGCCACATTACATACATCGTAGCGATATGACTGAAAAATTGTTCAAGATACGCTATACAATTTAAATAACACAACAACAACAACACGCACACACAAATATTTTTAGTGTGCACAATGGGCAATTTATTTTTTGTATGACAAAGTGTTTCATCGGCTATTTTGTGTTTCAACGATATAGCTAACTGGCGACCTTGTTCCTTAGCAAGTTGTTGTATTGGCGAATTGTCCGATCGGCGATTTGTTGTACATCCCAATTTCATGACAGTCATCCTCGTTAACAATTATGTAAAAAAAAAACCCGAACATTTCTTTGACTGTCGTCTCGCATGCTTCAGTGTAAACTATTCAGCACTACAAGGACGTACTTACTATGTTAATTTCTCTCCACTTGGTTTGAGTTTTGACTGCAATGTATGCAGTAAGTGTTCACAAATAATAAATCTCCACTCAATGAAATCCCACTCGTCTCTATAGTAACTAATAACTTTTGAAATAGATATGTAAAATTTTAATACTTCTACATATATTGTGTAGGGAATTTAATTTATTAAGTAATTAAACCGTATCTGTCAGGAGTGTATTGTCCCATATAAACACCGGTTTTGAGAGATCAAAGGGTGTGTGGACTAAAGGCAGAAAAACCTAGACTGATTGAATAACCCCATAATCTAAACAAAACTAGTCGTTATCTGTGATAATGGATATATAATGATAATGGCTGATTTCTTTTCTAGCATAATTCGTATCGATTAATGAACGATTACAGAGACATGCCTAAGAGGCTTACAGAAGTCTTCAGCAGCCATTGTAAGTATTAATTATCACGCAGAAAATAAATCCAGATTAAAAAATTCTTGACAATGACATATTGGTCCCGGTGACAGGTCATAAAAGACAAGAAAGTGTTCTTGACAACGAAACGTTTCTCTCTGTCATAGTGCATTAAAGTGTGATAGAGTATGAAAGGACAAAAAGGGTTCATGGCAACGAAAGGTTGGTCCCTGAGACAGGTCACCAAAAGACAAGAAAGAGTTCTTGACAAAAAAGTGTTTGTCCCTGTGACAGGGCATACAAAGAAAATCAATAAACAATGACATTCGTTTATGCGATATAAAATGGGACATAATATAATAAGTTGGTTAAAAATAATTAATTTGTGTGTTTTCTTTTAAAATCAACATTACTGTTCTTAAAATATGTTTCAGAACTGGTTATCATTGTCAACATTTCAAGTGAGAGTGTACTGGTTGAAAGTCACAGGCTTTCAATAAAGTATAACCAATAAAAAATATTGAAATCATACTCCATGCATCAGTAATTATCTTGAGCAGTTATTAAAGCTAAGGCCACACATTCAAAGTATACAGTCATCTGATTCGTGTAATTATTCACATGGACGATACACGGTTAAGTTGTTTCTGGTAACCTTTCGTAATATTCATAGTCAATAACTTGAAAGTTGACCATTTAATAAACAGACGTATTCATTCCTCCAACACAAATAAAAGCCATCAGTTTTACAAGTTTAGCATGAACGGCAAGCACAAAATTTACCACAAGCCAGTGAAGAATAAAATATGGGTCATTATGACTTACTTCTGTCATGAGTTAGTAGTACTCATCAAAATACACCCTTTCATCAATTATCATCACTCAATATAGAGTAGCACGGATACATCGTGCAAAAAATCAATGTGGTATGAGCCATCAATGAAAAAACGTAATCTAAACCAGTAAAATTAGGGAACACTAGTCTTTATTGTTGTACAGGTGTTGTACAATATAGATTATACAATCATCTAGTTTCATGATCATAGCACAAACAATGAAAATGCAACATGTTAGCAAGGCTAGTGGAAGCATGCAGTATGGGTCATAGTGACCTGCTTTTGTCCTGTTTGTGTTTCACTCATCAAGATGAATCTTCTTGTCAAGTTTGATCTTTTCAGATGCAACTGTGTATACAGTAAGAACTAAATGTAAAAAAAAAAACGTAATCAATAGAAGTGTGAAATATAGGTCACAATTACATTCTTTTCTTGCAAATGTGTGGTACTTATAGAGATGCACACCGACATCTTGCTTATGATTCTAGCATGAACTGAGCTAAAAAAAAATAAACAAATTACAAATTTCTGCAAGTTAGAGAAGCGCGAAATATGGCTTAATTTGTGATGAGGATGCATGAATCTTTTACATCGTTTTTAATACTCGTTTTAAAAAAGTCCGATTAACAGACATTGCATCAACAATTTCATTATGTCATCTAATGAAATGGTATGTAATGAGTTCCATATCAGAAGGATGACTGCATCGTCAAGACTGTGGCCCAGCACTGGTACATGTTATAGGTCTGTCTGGAAAACCTTACTGACTACATAATATAGATATTGTGTTTTTTCGATTCCCCGTAGAGTACGAATTAAAAATTCTCTAACATCTATGATAGTATTGTTTGCATTCAAATATTATTATCAAGCATTCTTCTATAGAAACATGGGATAGCATAATATAGATCTTGTGTTTTTTGTGGTTACGTGGGGTTTCCGTAACAGTTCGTGACCTGTAAGCACATTCCGTTCTGTCTGGTTTTTATATATAACTTTTTTCCGTATTTTTTCCAGTATATTTTCCCCTATTTATCCATATTTTCTAAATATTCCAAACTTTCATTTTCTTCAAATAGATATATTCCATCATTCTAGTGTTTCTTTTTCCATTTCCCCCTTTTACCTTTCCAATTCTTTCCATTTTTTTCTTATTCTTGTTCTTCTACTGCTATTGTTGTCTGATAACTTTGTTGTATTTCTGTTATTTTGACCCTGTTTTTGTTTTTGATGTTTTTGAACCTTGTCTTGGATCTTGCTGATTGTCTTTTCCTTGTTGTTTGTTTTGTTGTACTTTTATTTGTCCCGTTGATTGTTCTCTTGCACTTTTGTTTGTTTCCTTTCTTATTTCTTCTTGTCTATGTTTTCACTGTTGTTGTTGAAAAATTTACCTTTGTCCTATTTGTTGTTTATGCTGTTTATTTTCCTGTAGCTGTTTTGAGTTTTGTTGTTCCAACATTTTTCAGGCTGGTGCTTGTTGTTTTTGTTGTTGTGTCTCTACAATTTTAGGGTATTTGTGTTTAGTATGTCTTGTCTGGCCACATCTGTTGCATTGTGGGTATTTGCGTACACAATCGACACGTCTATGAAAACAACCCATAGTAGATATTTAAATTATAACCACGTGACTCACAACCCGCCCACTAAACCATGATGACGTGTCCGTTTTTTTTGTTGTTGTTTTTTTTTTGTGGTTACGTGAGGTTTCCGTAACGTTCGTGACCTATAAGTTTTAATTAAAGCAGACCGTCAAAAAATCATTTTCTTTCATCTATTTATCAAGTATCTAATTAAACCTTCACAAAGTCTAGGTTTTGTTAATTATTTTGGCTTATAAGTTAATACATTTCATTAGTTTCACGATCTTTAGAATTTATACATTTACAGACACTTTGCACTATTGTGCATTTAAGTGTGACTACATTTTGCCATCATTCAAAGGACCAGAGATATGATATCGTTGTGTAACACAGGCGAAATCCTTTACGCTCGTGTTTTTTAAACGGTAACTTTCTACGATTGTCCAGAGAGAGAGAGAGAGAGAGAGAGAGAGAGAGAGAGAGAGAGAGAGAGAGAGAGAGAGAGAGAGAGAGAGAGAGAGAGAGAGAGAGAGAGAGAGAGAACTTTCGATCATTTTAAGATAAAATGGTCTGTGATAGACCCATATTAATCGATTTTATACAATAGATAGAAAGAAATAAAGACAAACAAAAACATGATAGATTAAAGTAATGTTTTCTCCTAACCGATAAAGTCTTAACACGCTTTTGTAACTTTGCATCAATGGTATTGAGAACACAAAAATCCCATAGAACGTGTATATCTTAACATATCCATGTCCCATGTCTTTGTAGGTTACATGGTGCAAGGTCCTTTTTTTCCTCTCTCACTAAATAGATTTCCCCACATTCTATTCATTATGCACGAGAGAGAGAGAGAGAGAGAGAGAGAGAGAGAGAGAGAGAGAGAGAGAGAGAGAGAGAGAGAGAGAGAGAGAGAGAGAGAGAAATCGAGCTTGCACCAAGTGACCTACAAAATCCTGGTTCCTCGAAACGGTTAAGTGTAGACGTTCCATTAGATTTTAATAAAGTGTCCATAATAGCAGTGATGCAAAGCTGCAATAGCCAGTCAAGATTTGTAATGTACATTTATTTGGAATACATATACTGTAATCTATATAATGTTTTGTCTCTTTTTTTATTTCTATCTCATGTCTAAGAAAACCTATTAGTATGGGTTTAAAACCATTATCTAATAAAATGTCAGAAAGCCGCTATACCCTCCTTCAGCACTTTCTCTAACATTGTGTTAGTTGAAAAGGCAGCAAACTAATCGACCTAACAATGAAACAATGGATGGGGAACGAATAAATGTTTTTTTTTATGGTAAATCTCCCCAACATTCGATCCACATCTCTCTCTCTCTCTCTCTCTCTCTCTCTCTCTCTCTCTCTCTCTCTCTCTCTCTCTCTCTCTCTCTCTCTCTCTCTCTGTGTTAAAAAAAACGAGTGTGGAGTATTTTCGCCTGTGTCATGCGGCGATTGACCTATGAATAATGGCAAATGGTAATCAAACAAACTGACGGCAAGAGTAAAGTTAAAAATGGAGGATCGAAACAATTTTATGGTCGGTAGGAATGTTAATTAATCAGAATAATGACTTACATCACCTGATTATAGATTTAAATGTTTGAATTATCTTTTGTTGGTTCCTTGTTTCGCTAAATTTATATATTCAACTCGTTTCAAGATGCTTGCCGGTATGAAAAATACCCCAACGTTTTCTGTGTTCAAGTAGGTAACCATGCTGTGTTGTAGCG